GGTCAAAGCGACCTCCAGAGTTAGCCCTGACGGAGAATGGCTTGTGACAGAACTGGAGAGTCTAAGGTGACCGTCCCTACCCCCAGGGTCACTAGGATAGTGTGCTGAGAGTAGTGAGGCCTCCGGCAGGAGCAGACTTCCTGCCCAGTGGAAGCTGGTCTCTGGCCTGGTCCCACACCAGGGTCTGTGCTGGCTCTGCTCCTTCTACCTGACTTTCCTTTCTCTAAGTCTTTTCTCATCAGCCTGTGAATGAGCTTTGCAGTAACCTCTCTGCCTTCTGGAATGCCACCTGAGTGGCCCCATATTCTCTCCATCTGCTTCCTCAGTGCCTCCCTTTTCTTAGCTTATCCCAGTCTGACTTTTCCCCACAGAAATGGTTCTCACCACACTAACATCTGACCCATCTATTGACAAACCCATGGAGCCTTCTCACCCTTCATTTCCCCTGACTGCTTGACTGTGGCTCTATTGGATTCTCCCACTGGAAACTCTTCCCTGGCCTGAGTTTCACTCTATGTTTTTTGAGTTCTTTTTCTTCCCCACAGCCAGCCAATGCCTAAGGCAGCTGCTCACACTGTGCCTTCTCCACGCATTGCTGCCCTAGCTTTTAGTTCCTCCCTCTGGGCTCTCGAAGGGCTCTCACCTGGTCTTCCTGACTCTCCTCTTGCCCTGGATTCACATTCTCCCTAGCTTTGGGTGTCTTTCCAATAAATAAAAGAAATTAAATAAATAACCTCCAAAACAAAGTTCTTCAGTTGCTTCTATCCCTTGCAGGAAGGAGCTCAGAAAATGCTCAGAGCCCCCTCTGAGTGGCTCTACACCCCAGTTCTTTTGTATCTAAGATATACTTTCTTCTTTCTGTACCCTTGTTCTGTTGTTCTTCTCTGGAGCCCCCACTCTGTTGGGACTGGACTCATAAATGCCTCTTTGTTCCCTAGAACATCCATCCCCACTGGAGGAGAGTCTTATGTCTTCCATTTCCCTGGCGCCTTGCAGGCCTTACTGTGCGGCAGGTACTGGGTCTGCTTCTGTTGTCTAAGCCAGGCTGAAGTTTCCCTGATTCACTTACTCGCTGCAAGGCCAAGCAGCCCATGCTTTACTGATGAAATGATAAATCAGGGAGCCAATATTTTCATTCTTTTGTTTTTATGACAGAGGGAGAAAGGCAGAACAGAGAGATAAAGAGAGATGTATTTTTGACAGGGTATGACCGTGCTGTGATCCTTCTGCTCCAGCCTTGAGTTAGCTAGGACCGCAGGGATGCACCACGTTAGACCGGGCCAGGAACAGAACTTGGACCATCCATGCAGCCTCAGCCATCACACAGCAGTGTCCTCTCACTTGTACCACCACAGCTGGGCCTGACTCTGGGTTTTTGAAAATGAATTTGTAGAAGTCTGATTTGGAATTAGGCCCACCTGAAAGAGGGATGCGCTCATAATTTCTGATTTAAAGGTACTTCTCAGAGAACATTGCTCTATCATAAAGTCTGTGTGGCGAGGCTGCTGCCACTTGCACACACAGGGGTGGGTATCTACTATCCTCCTGACATGGAGCAGAGATGGGTCCCTCAGAGGCCAAGTCCTTCCTGCAGGAGTCTCCTCAGATCAGTTCTTCCCACAGTCCTGGCTGAAGCCTTTTTAATCCTGATTTTCCCTGCCTTGGGATAAATGGAAAATTTGACTTCATCTGTTCTTGCTCCTATCTTCCCTATGGAAAACAGCACCTCAGAGACCCCTGGGGAGGCCAAGACACCCTCCTTGGGCTCAGATGTCCCTCCCCCTCCCAGCATCTATTCCTGCACACTTCATGAGTCCCCCACTTGAGGATGGGGGCCGTGGCTTGCATGCTTTGGATCAGCTATCAGACAGTGTAGGGCTCATTCAACTGCTGAGCCCAACCTGTGTGTATTGAGTGAGGCTTCGATCGCTAGCTCCTCATGTGCTTCTCTGATGGTTCCAAGAGTAAAGCTCAGAACTCCAAGTGTCCACTACAGAGGGTGAACATTCTAGAGTGCTACAGCCTTGCCAGTACAGTCCACAGTCATTACCTAAATTCCACCTCCTAGGATCCCACTACCTACCAGAGGCCCCAGGTTCATTACTGCTCCTGAATAGCCCACCATGGGTCTCACAGGCCATCAAACCCCACATGGCTCACACAGCTGCTCCCTCCTCCTTGCCTCCGGACAGTACACTGTACCTCCAGGCAGGGGGTGGTGTGGGCCTATGTCCTTGAAGGCACAATAGAAATATCATAGCAGGCCCAGGTGGTGGCTCAGCAGAAGTACAACTAGACCAATATGGGCAAGCTCCTAGGTTCACATCCTGGGACCTCCCTGAGCATGCCAGGTGGGCATGTGTATGATCTGGGTTGTCTGGGACTGGGAGTGGGACATGGAGTTAAGACCCTACTGGGGGTGCCTGTCCCTCTGACTCCATCATGGGAGAGATGACCATGAGATAAATTAAAAAAAAAAAAAAGGGAAAATGCATGGCATAGTGTCTCACACCGGCCTAGAACCACTGTACATTTGAATATGAATGTGCAGCTGTGATGCTGTGCATCGCCTGGAGCCCTCTGTCTTCATTCAGCCTCTCAGGAACATCAGATAAGGTTATTTCAGGGGAGACCAAGGCTCTGAGCTCCATGATCAGCCCTCAAGCTGGGGCTGTGGTCATTATGATCTTCCTCCCCACCCATATCCTTCTTTCCTTGGTGATAATGTAGCTGCCAGGGCCTCAGCTGGGGTCTCAGGGCCTTCTGCAGACACCAGTCCTGTATCAGTGTTGATGAAGCATGCAGGGAGAGGCCTGGGGTGTGCTGGGTGTGAATCCCTGGTGAGAAGACCACCCCACAATAGGGTTGTGAGCTCAAGTTCGAAATACCTTACTTTGCCTCAGCCTCGTTTATGCCATTAGATCCTAACATAGCTGCACGCTGGTCATAGAGATGTCATGGGAAGGTATGGGAGGTCAGTGTGGCCAAGCTCCCCTGTGTTCTTTTATTATTATTTTTTTGTTGTTGTTGGGAACATTCTTGGTCACTTCAGAGTCCTCGTTCCTCTGCTCTCCACTGCTCCTGAGCAGTCTATTCTCCTTCTCTAAACCCCAGATGGTCCCTTCAATATCATGATGACCCCCGACCCCCCCACCTCCATCCAGGATCTATCCAGAGAGGAGGGATTATAGCAGAGGCTATAGGAGTAGGTCAATTGGTGAGGAATAGGTCAACCTCTGGCGCTAAATGTGAAGTGAGTCCCAATGTTTCCACCTTGAAACTGGATGCTGACACTGTACTACCCCCTCAGGGTGGGAAAAGGCCCCAGGTGAGCACAGCCGCTAGCTCCTCATGTGCTTCTCTGATGGTTCCAAGAGTAAAGCTCAGAACTCCAAGTGTCCACTACAGAGGGTGAACATTCTAGAGTGCTACAGCCTTGCCAGTACAGTCCACAGTCATTACCTAAATTCCACCTCCTAGGATCCCACTACCTACCAGAGGCCCCAGGTTCATTACTGCTCCTGAATAGCCCACCATGGGTCTCACAGGCCATCAAACCCCACATGGCTCACACAGCTGCTCCCTCCTCCTTGCCTCCGGACAGTACACTGTACCTCCAGGCAGGGGGTGGTGTGGGCCTATGTCCTTGAAGGCACAATAGAAATATCATAGCAGGCCCAGGTGGTGGCTCAGCAGAAGTACAACTAGACCAATATGGGCAAGCTCCTAGGTTCACATCCTGGGACCTCCCTGAGCATGCCAGGTGGGCATGTGTATGATCTGGGTTGTCTGGGACTGGGAGTGGGACATGGAGTTAAGACCCTACTGGGGGTGCCTGTCCCTCTGACTCCATCATGGGAGAGATGACCATGAGATAAATTAAAAAAAAAAAAAAGGGAAAATGCATGGCATAGTGTCTCACACCGGCCTAGAACCACTGTACATTTGAATATGAATGTGCAGCTGTGATGCTGTGCATCGCCTGGAGCCCTCTGTCTTCATTCAGCCTCTCAGGAACATCAGATAAGGTTATTTCAGGGGAGACCAAGGCTCTGAGCTCCATGATCAGCCCTCAAGCTGGGGCTGTGGTCATTATGATCTTCCTCCCCACCCATATCCTTCTTTCCTTGGTGATAATGTAGCTGCCAGGGCCTCAGCTGGGGTCTCAGGGCCTTCTGCAGACACCAGTCCTGTATCAGTGTTGATGAAGCATGCAGGGAGAGGCCTGGGGTGTGCTGGGTGTGAATCCCTGGTGAGAAGACCACCCCACAATAGGGTTGTGAGCTCAAGTTCGAAATACCTTACTTTGCCTCAGCCTCGTTTATGCCATTAGATCCTAACATAGCTGCACGCTGGTCATAGAGATGTCATGGGAAGGTATGGGAGGTCAGTGTGGCCAAGCTCCCCTGTGTTCTTTTATTATTATTTTTTTGTTGTTGTTGGGAACATTCTTGGTCACTTCAGAGTCCTCGTTCCTCTGCTCTCCACTGCTCCTGAGCAGTCTATTCTCCTTCTCTAAACCCCAGATGGTCCCTTCAATATCATGATGACCCCCGACCCCCCCACCTCCATCCAGGATCTATCCAGAGAGGAGGGATTATAGCAGAGGCTATAGGAGTAGGTCAATTGGTGAGGAATAGGTCAACCTCTGGCGCTAAATGTGAAGTGAGTCCCAATGTTTCCACCTTGAAACTGGATGCTGACACTGTACTACCCCCTCAGGGTGGGAAAAGGCCCCAGGTGAGCACAGCCCTTGCATGATGCCCAGAGGTGTCAGCTGAGGAGTGTGGGAAGGGATGCCTACTCAGGGACTGGGAGCAGGTAAGCCAGGTTGAGGAAGCTGGCTGCATGGTCACCCTGTTCTCTTAGGCCTAGGCAGGGAAGAATTGCTGACTGTTTCCTTCAGCCCCGACCCAGGTGCTTGGTCACCTGGTGGAGTTGGTGAGAAGATGTAAAGGTCAGGAATGGATAAGAGGTCATAGGTCTGGGGGTGGGGTAGGCTAAGATGAGGCCCCCAGGATCTGTACTGTTCTCTGTACCACCTTGTGAAGTGCCTGCTTGACCTCCTGGTTCCGCAGACAGTAGATGATAGGGTTGAGCAGAGGCGTGAGCACTGTGTACACTACGGACACCAGCTTGTTGTAGTCGAAGGAGTAGATGGCCCGTGGCCGGGCATAGATGAAGAGGGAAGCTGAGTAGAAGATGACCACCACTGCCAGGTGCGAGGCACACGTGGAGAAGGCCTTCTGCCGGCCTGAGGCAGATGGGATGCGCAACACCGCGCTGATGATGGAAGCATAGGAGAAGACTGTGAGCAGCAGTGGCCCCAACAGGATTAGCAGTGCCAGGAGGAAGTCCACCAGCTCTGCCACTGACATGTCGGAGCAGGCGAGGTTCAGCAATGGGGACACGTCGCAGAAGAAGTGGTTCATGACATTGGGACCACAGTAACCGAGGCGAGAGATGAAGAATACCTTCCCCAGGGAGATGGTGAAGCCTGAGAACCAGGAGCCAGCAGCCAGGAGGCTACAGAGCCCTGGGCTCATGATGACTGGGTAGCGCAGTGGGCTGCAGATGGCCACATAGCGATCATAGGCCATGACGCCCAGGAGTGTGCACTCAGTACAGGCTAGTGCCAGGAAGAAGTACAACTGGGCCATGCAGCCTGCAAAGGAGATGCGCTGGAATCGGGGTGCGACAAGGCTGAGCAGCATCTTGGGCACTGTGACGGAGATGTACCATACCTCCAGGAAGGACAGGTTGCTGAGGAAGAGGTACATGGGCTTGTGCAGTACAGGGCTTGTGCGGATCACTGCAATGATGACCAGGTTCTCTGTGATGGTCAGCATGTAGGCCAGTAGAAACAGTACCAGCAGACACATATGGAGCCCCAGAGAACCTGGGAAGCCCACCAGGATGAACTCGGTCACTTCTGAGTGGTTTCGCCTTACAGACATGGCACACATGGCTCAGCCTGAGGAAGCAGAATGGGTGGGTTAGGTGTGAATGGGCAGGTGCCAGGAGCCTGGCAGGTGGAGGGATGCTAGCCTGCCTTGCTCTGTGTAAGTTAAACTCCCCATGAGTCAAGGGCCTTGCCTTGTTGTGCCACATGACTACCCACAGCCTGGCCAGGGGCTTCTCTAGCTGTTGGGTGGGGCTCTGACCCCAGGCAAATGGCCTAACCTGGTCACAGGCATTAGATAAATGCTGTTCTTTTATGGAGGAAACATGCTGGGCATTATAACATTTCAGAAACCTGACTGTAGAAACTTGCAACATGCTTTGGATGAGAGTGTGAAACCCACCTGGTTACAGTCTTGCAGGCCTGCCAATCTCCTCTGCCCAGACCAGAGTTAGGAAAGAGCCACAGGTAAGGTGACCATAGGTACAGGGATGGATGTCAGAATCAGGAGAGGGAGCCTCAGGATGGTTGCTAGGGTGTGCCCTAGAGCTGGCAGACAGATCCAAGGAAAGATGGCAAGGAGGGGGCATGGGGCCAGCAGAGCAGGTGTCAGGTCAATGGAAAAGTAAGAGGTCCAAGATTGGAAGGACCAGATAGGGCCTACAGTCTAGCTGGCATGGCCACTTGGTTTGGTGCTGTCTTTCCAGGTGAGTGGGAGGGTCAGAGTGACCCTGTGCCCTGGATTCTTGTCTATATCTTAGGTGATGGTGGTGGCTTTGCAGAATTTACTCCAAAGATTAAACCCATGCAATGATACCAGCATTAGAGGGCTCTACAAAGAGTGGAGTTGCCTTAAAGACAGCAAACAGAGAACAGAAGTCAGCTCCCTCTCCTGCCTTGTTGAGGCAGCCTCTTGCTAGCCCATTCATTTGCCAGCTCAGGTGTTTCTCAGCCTGGGTCAAGCCTCCCTGCAATGTGGCTAAGTCCAGCCAGACCCTGCACCATATACCTGTGCTCCCTTGGCTGTGCCTTCAGAACCTCAGCACATTTAAAAAATAAGTATTTATTTTCTGCCACAGAGTGTAGATATTCAGTATATATTAACTGGGGACATACAGTTTTTCTCTTTTATAGTCTGGCTTGCTTCACTTAGTATTAAGTCTTCCATATTTGTTCACTTTCTATCAAATGCCAAGGTTTTTTTTTTTTTTTTTTTTTTTTCTCTCTCTCTTTTTAAATTGCCAAGTAGTATTCCATATTGTGCCATACTGAAAAAAATGCATTAGTCTGTTCTTGGACATTTGGGTTGATTTCTATGTCTTAACAATTATGGATCGCCCATAACTCTGTTGGCCTGGGCTTGCACTGTCTGTTGGGAGACCTAAGCCTGGTCTGTGTAGGCCTCCTCTCATGAGTCCACTCTTGGAGCTTGGAAGTAACTTTAGAAGTTTTTGTACATCAGCCTGAGTGGTGCATGACTTGATCCTCTTCAACAAGTTATATATCTCCTTAGTTTGCTACCACCTCATCAAGAGCTGAACATTTGGTAGAGGAGCCAAGCACTTGAAGTTACCCACAACTACTCTATCCTGGGAGACACAGCTCTCCAACAGGAACACACCTGGTAACTAAGGGTGAAATGTCCTCTTTTTTCTTTTTTTTAAGAGATTTTTGCTATAGGGCGCGTTCACTTGCCAGCCAGACAGAGAGAGATAGAGAGACAGAAAGCGAGAAATCACCCCCCAGGGGGGGTGGCCACGCCACAATCCCTTCTCCTCCATTCTCCTCTCGGGATCTTGGGCACGCACGCACACGCGCCCGGCGTGAGTTTAAGCCATTGGGTCCGGGACTCGAACCGCAGTTGACTACGAGGGAGTCCAGCGAGATAGCCATAACGTTAACTGCTGGTCCTGAAATGTCCTCTTCTAATACTATGAAATCTACTCCATAAGTACAAAAAAGTGAATACTGCATCAGATGACCAAAACCTAGCACAGATCTCAAAGAAACATGAGAAAATAAAGGGGCAACTCTCCCTCAGGTGAATGTAGCAGCCCCTCACCAATGATGAATAGCACAGAAAAATACACAGAAATTTCAGGGAAAAATCCCAGTTATTCATGGTGACAAAACTCAATGAGATGAAAGAGAAAACAGTCAGTTCCGGAAGTGAGAAAATAATTTCAGGACATGAAAGAGGAATTTCATAATAACATAGACATCCTAAAAAAGAATCAAACAGAACTTTTGGAAATGAAGAATACAATACAAAAACTTAAAATCTCCCTAGGAAGCATTAACAGAAGATTGGACCATGCAGAAGAAAGAATTTTTGACCTTGAAGACTGTCTCCGACATAGACCAAATCACCAAAAAAGGATTAAAAAATTCCAAAAAAATGAGGACAATATGTGGGAAATTCTAGACACCATGAAACACCCAAATATTCATATAATGCATATTCTAGAAGGTGAAAAATCTGCTGAAGGCATGGAAAACCTCTTTCATAAAATACTATCTGAAAATTTTCCTAATATAAACATGGAGAAATTCAGACCCAAGAAATAAAAAGGACCCCAAATAGAATCAACACAAAAACATCCTCCCCCAGCCCATCATAACCAGATCAGTAAAAGTGAAAGACACAATAATATTTTAAAAATGGCAAGGGAGGAATGTCACATTACTTATAAAGTTTATCCCTTTAGGCTAACATCAGATCTCTCAACTAAACAATGTAGGCAAAGAAAGAACGGGAAGATATATTCAAAACATTATAAGAAAAACAATTTCAACCAAGAATATTATATTTAGCAAGATTATCCTTCAAATGGGAAGAACAAATAAAAGTATTTTCAGATAAACAAAAACTGAAAAAATTCACCAACACTAGACCAGCTCTACAGAAAGTACTGAAGGGAGTGTTGTATCAGGATAACTAAGGAGAGACAAGCAGAACTAGGATAACAAACAACTAAGAAAATGGATAACGAAATGACAAAAGTTAAGTCCACAAATGTCAATAATGTTGAATGTTAGTAGATTAAATTCTCCCATTTAAAAGATACAGACTAGCTGAATGTATACAAAAACAGATGCCATCTATATGCTACTTACAAGTAACAGCTCACTGATAAGGACATACATAGACTGAAAAGTGGAGGACTGGAAATGGAAACCAAGAAAAGGCCAGAGTTGAGATACTGGTATCAGACAAGACAGACTTTAAGATGAAAGATGTAAGAGAGAAAAAGGGACATTGTATTGTATTAAAAGGACTTGTTCACAAAGAAGATATAACACTTGAAAATATCTATGCACCCAACACTGGAGCACCTGAATACATCAAAGAGAGACTGCTAGATCTCAGGGGAGAGATATATTGCAACATGATAACCATAAGGGAGCTCAACACCCCAATGTCTCCTTCGGACAGATAATTTAGACAAAAAATAAACAAAGAAATACAAGATCTAAGTGATACCATGTATGAAATGGACTTGACAGACAGCTACAGAGTATTTCACCCAACTACCACAAAATATGCATTTTTCTCAGCCCCACATTGACCACATAATAGGGCACAAAACAAGGCTTTCCAAATTAAAATGTATAAAAACTATATACAGCATCTTTTCCAGCCCCAATGGAATCAAACTTGAAATTAGCTACAGAAAGAGCCCTCAAAAATTCACAAACACATGGAGACTAAACAACCTACTCCTGAGTGACTTTACAACTATAGGAGAAATTAATACTAAAATAAAAAGGTTCATAGAAACCAATGATAACAAATAAGTTTATAACCTGTGGGACACAGCAAAAGCAGTCATAAGAGGAAAGTTCATAACAATTAGTGAAGAAAAAGGCAGAAAGGTGGCAAATAAACAACCTAATAACACAACTCAGGGAACAGGAAAAACAGCAGAAAATAACTCCCCTCCACCCCAAATTCCAGAAATAAAGATTCAAGCAGAAATAAATGAAATAGAGAATAAGAGAGCTATACAGAAAATAAATGAAACAAAAAGCTGGTTCTTTGAGAAGATAAACAAAATTGACACACCATTAGCTAAATTAATCAAGTAGAAAGAGAAAGGAACCAGATAAATAAAATCAGAAAGGAGACAGGTGTTATTACAACAGATATAACAGAAATGCAAAATATCATCACAGAATACAATAATCGACTATATGCCAAAACCAAAGCCTAGATATGATGGACAAATTGCTGGACATGTAAAACTTACCAAGATTAAGCCAGGAAGAAATCAAAAGCTAATGGCTCATAATGAGCAAAGAGATTGAATCGGTAATAGATATTCTCCTAAAAAAGAAAAGCCCAGGTTCCGATGGCTTTACTTCTGAATTCTGCAAAACTTTTAAAGAACTAACCCCAATTCTCTAAGATATTTCTAAAAATTCAAAAGGAAGGAACCCTCCCAAATTCATTCTACAAAGCCTCCCTCATTTTAATTCCAAAACCAGACAAGGACATGAAAAAAAAGACTTCAGGCCAATATCCCTGATGAATACGGATGCAAAAATTCTCAAGATACTAGCAAATCATACTCAACAACATATTTAAAAGATTATACACCATGACCAAGTAGGCTTTATTAAAGGGCTTCAAGGATGGTTCAACACTTGCAAAAGATTAAATGTAATGCATCACATTGACAAAAGGAAAGAGAAAAACCATATGATCATATCAACCGATGAAGAAAAGAGAATTCGAAGGACCAGCAGTTAACATAATGGCTATGTCGCTGGACTCCCACGTAGTCAACTGCGGTTCGCGTCCCGGAGCCGGTGGCTTAAACTCACGCTGGGAGCGTGTGCGTGCGTGCCCAAGATCCCAAGAGGAGAATGGAGGAGAAGGGATTGCGGAGTGGCCATACCCCTGGGGGGTGATTCCTCGCTTTCTATCTCTTTGTCTCTCTCTGTCTGTCTGGCAAGCGCACATGCCCTATAGCAAAAACCTCTCCAAGAAAAAAAGAAAAAGAAAAAAAAAAGAAAAAAAAAAGAAAAGAGAATTTGATAAAATACAACATG